TCCACCCCCGCCATATCACTACACATCTCCCCCTCCCCCTACTTATTCACCACCTCCTACTTACCATTACAAGTCACCACCTCCACCTTTGAAGTCTTCTCCACCATATCACTACACATCTCCTCCTCCTCCTCCTCCAACTCTTTCACCTCCTCCGCCCTACTTTTACAAGTCCCCACCTCCACCTATAAAGTCTCCTCCTCCACCATATTATTATAATTCGCCACCTCCTCCATCTCCATCACCACCTCTTCCGTATTATTACAACTCGCCACCTCCTCCAAAGGCTTACTAATTAAGCCAATAACCATCACTTCATTTAGTTTGAATTGGATTATTGCAAGAATTTGTTAATCTGTGATTTGAGTAATAAAGGGCTCTAGAATCCCTTGGTGAATTTTATTGGAATTTGTAAGAAATAATTTTCATTGTTGGAAGAATTGAATTATATTGTTCTATGCATGCATTAAATTTTAAAAAGTTTTTATTTTTTGATACATAGAAATTAGGGATTAAACTCTAGATTTATGATTAAGAGTACATATAACTCTATCACCAAATCACATGGTTGATGGTATAAGCTTTTTTTTTTTTTTTTTTTTTTTTAGGATTGTACAATGAGAAACAATCATTTCTCATCTTTTAACTTATCTCACCCATATGTTATGCGACTCAAAGCCAAAATCTCTTACTTATAACAGAAAGAGATTACTACTAATCGACTTAATTGGTGGACAATGATATAAATTATTAAATATATGTGAAAAATGATCAATGTATAATAATCATAAGTATATTGACTTGTATAATATGTCTAGTTATTTTTTTATTAATTCTATTTATTTGAGGGACACACATGAATTATTATGCATTCACTAATTTAATGAAACATTATATTATACAAATTAAGTATTATACTTAAAATCATTGTGCGTGTAGCATTGGTGGAATGCCCCGTATATACATAAATACTAGAATTGAAATGCTAAAAGTGTGCTGAAGTATACATAGACAAGTAGCAAAGGTTGAAAGAGAAATATTATATTGTAAAATTATTTCAAATTAACCGTGTTCATACGGTGTACACATTTAAATTAAGCCAACAGTGAAAGAAAGTAAAATCTCAAAATAAGCAGAAAATTAAAGTATGCAAGACAAATCATCCAAGCACTTCTTGCAGCAATTATTTCCATGACACCTTCTATAACCTGTGGGCAACAAAATATATAACGCATTACTATCAGATATTGCGAATAGGGAAAAACCAAAAAAAGAACTTGAAACTAATTAGAAAGCAAGCAAGCGTACCTGAACAAAGTAGAAACAGTGATAGTAATCTTATTGAGGAGTAATGATGATTTCTACTTGTATGGGGGTGGGGGTGGGGACTTATATTCATAGGGAGGATAGTATGGAGGTGGAGGTGGGGACTTGTATTCATAAGGTGGAGGCGGTGGGGACTTGTAGACATATGGAGGAGGTGGGGGCGACTTGTAAACATAAGGAGGAGGCGGTGGGGACTTGTAGACATATGGAGGAGG